ATCGAGGCAAAATAGTGGATTTTGGCAATTTTGAGATGTCCCCTCGTTGCCATGGTAACAGGAAATTTAAGACTGAGCATGTCGTCACAAAGGCAATGGTCCAGTCAACATTTGTGCCAAGTTTGATTAGTATTGAAGCATTTTTCATAGTTTCATAGCAGTTTGAACTTGTAAGAGGAGGCTTTTCAGTAAAAATGGCCATTTTTCACAATATGCTCATGGGGGAAAGGGTTAAGGGATTTGATGATGATTTTCAGGTTTCAAAGGTCATAAAAAGGTCATAAAACTGTAAATTATTGAGCTTTATCTTATTCTGGACGGAAATCTAAAAAATTACCAAACATTACAAACATTTGAAAAATACTGGCAATTTAAGATGTTTTTGAAGTAATTAAACACAACCATTTGTTTTAATGAGTTAAATTAAAGAATAGTTTAATTTACTTCATCTTTATCTAACTTATGAAGTGGTAAGAAATACACAATTGATAAGTTATAGGTCATTTAAGAATCATGAATTAATTCTATTGATTTATAAAAATAAAAGTATTATAGCTCTTTTTTAATTTTTTTAATAGATTCTTTTACATGTCTGCATGTCTTTATCCAATATAAACGATATAATTTACATTTCATGCTATATTAATACTAGTACAGACTTATAAAACAAAATTAGTATGTCTTAAAATTACTTCAATAAATAAAAGTTACCAACTGACAATATACAACTAAAAAATGTATTTATCCTTAGCTCCGCCATCATTTCGTTTAAAACATACAATTTACTTTAAATTATACTTCCGTGTCTCGATATTTACGTTCGTACTTAAACAACCTGGTTGTATATATACGAATATGTTTTCTATTTGATCTACATTTTTTAGGTCACGATATTATTCATAAAAATGTTTTATATTCTGATATCAGTTAGCAAAATAATTACCACTAAAATTGTAAAGAGAAGTCTACGTAACTTCTTATAGCAGAAGTTAAAGATCGTTACTTATCAACGGAAATTAGCGTACATGTATATTTAACGTCATTCGTATCTGAATTCTTTTAAAGATGATTACTTCCTTAAAAATGTGAAATATACATTTATATAACAATAGTGAAAAGCAACGTCGCGGACTTTCCGTAACCGTTACTTAGTGTTTGCACCGTTGTCGAGACGAAACAGAAAGTAGACAAATTTTGACAAAACAAATTGACAGAATAAATGTTTAAATTGCACAGATGATTTTATACATTTACTGTAATAAAAAAGAGTATTCACTTCAATATAAGTATCTCTTGTACGGAGATTGACTTAAAAATTTACCACTTCTCTCGGTTCAAATTTCATGTTCATTTATTTACAATTGTTTTTTGTAAAAAAAATCATTTATATCATATATTACATACATTGTAAACGTACTGATCTTATAGTGAATTTACTTTTACGTTACATGCAAATATTCTTCTTTTACAATATAAAACGGATTTGTCTAAATACATAGAAAATAAAATGAGACGTACCTTTTAGTTGTTTACTTTTCTCCATATTGGATGGAAGCACCGTATCACGGAAAATCTGCACCGTTTTACGTACCCTACAGTGATCAATATATGTAATCTTATCATGAAGCAATTTATGAAAAAAATAAATAAACAAATGAATAAAAAAACTTAAATAGATAAATAAATAAATAAATAAATAAATAAATAAATAAATAAATAAATAAACTTTATTCAAATATTTATTATTCGGCTTAGAAGCATTCAAGTCATATGACTTAAAATAAGACACTTGATTTACTTCGGAATGTCACGGTTTTATTTTGCAAATCGCAAATAAAAATACGAGTACATTAAAACATGCACACACATTAGAATACACTTCTGGGCCTATTTCAAATTTCTTGCTTTGTTGCAAACGGTGTTATTTTTTCAAATTAGAATTACAAATAATGGTCTATTTCATAAATTGTGGGTTTACCAAGACTTAATATCTTGGAACCGAGCTAATACAAAATCATCCGTAAATACGCTGTCTTTTCATAAAAGGGAACCTTTTCGGTATTTGATTAAAAAACCCGTTTCGGTGTGAGAGCTGAAACATTCGTTTCGGTAGCATTTTATTCTGCTCTTCTAAAGGTATGCAGAGCTGACCATTCCACCGTAGCCATTTTACGAAAAACATTGCTTGTACTTATATAAATGCGTTTCTTTTTATGCCTACAGAGGATAATAAAATGATATAGATACGTCAGCGGTCATACAAAAATGTATAGTGACTGCATGACAGGAAAATACTATGTTTTTTATCAGACCGCTTAAATTTAGAAGTGTTTTACACGAAGACTCGCATTAAACAAGCAGGCTGCATAGATGAAAGAAAACAATTGATATATACTGAATAGTGTTACAACGTCCATCAGTCACAGGACTTTTTCTTTTTGATATTGATACTTTCATAAGATTGATAATACATGTAGTTGGCACAGATAATTCATATTTACATAGCTTAGGTAATATAATATTGACATAAATAAATTTAAGAATGGAACCTACTGTCAAATACTTTTTCTTTTCCAACAAAAATTATCATAAAACGTATAAGATATTAATGATATGACAATGTTTGATAAAATATTATTTTTTTTTTACATTTCAGAAGTGAAGTATGTATTCAAATATATACATGTATGTATTACAATTATCAGATAAAACATATTTCAAGCCGTGATAAAATAACAATGGATTGAACATATTCAATAAATGTATAAACCATCCTTATTTATATAACATAAACAGTTATGCAGGGCGTTCAGAAGAAGTTTCTTCTAAGAGTGGTGTTTTTTGTTTGTTATTTCATGTATGAGAAATGTCTCTCCTCTGAATCAAGCTGATGTTTTCTAGCTGATATTTTGACAATCAGTGTGTTCTGAATCTCATGAGTCAATGACTGTTGGACAAAAAGTTTTCTTGGGTAACATCAGTTTGTTTGTATTAAAACATCGCCATAGTGGTTTTATTTTGTTGTACATTGTGGTACATATTTACCTTTTAAGAGATCTTAATTTTGGAAAAACAGATAATTTATTGTTAGTAAAGATAATTTTACAAACTTATTTTGAATTTTAACCAATATTTGTTTTATCTTAAATAAGTTTTATTCACTATCCCATACAATTTCTTGCTTCTAAATGCACCTGTTTGTTTAAAATTAAATAAGATTTAAAGTTTTTGTATTTTTGTCTGACTTTTCTATGTTTCAAGCCCTTAATTCTTTGGTGAAACTGTAAATAAATCTAAATTGAATTCTATATTACATTTTAGACATGTTTCAATAACACACAAATAAAATGATTTACTATGTCTTTACAAATTTTAAAGGCAATATTTAAAGGCAATATTATAGGATTAAAGTATGCAGAGTCCCACGGAACGGTTGGAGCCCTCACCCTACCGGATTCGGGCACCAACCGTTCCTCGGGACTCTGCAGACGTTATAACACGAAAGAAAACGTGCGTTGACGCTATTATAGCATAAAATTATTTAAAAAATAGATTCATACAAAACACATACAATAAATTCTTGTGCTTGGACGGTATTTATCCAATTCTACATGTTTTATGTATGCGTTTTATTTTTCCGGGGCTTATCTTGTTTTGTAATTTAATTTGAGGGTTAAACTGAATGTCATTTATTTGTTTACATTCACAACTGTCCGTTTCTTAGAAAGGGCGACAACCAAGATTAGCAGCGTTGTCTATACCGTATTTCCGGCATAGTTACTTGAATGCTGCTCAATGCGATTGAGGCACTCGAATCAATAATTTCAATACAACACTTTGGCAAACAGGCCAATTCGTCATTTTTTGTTTGTTTACTTGGCCCTGTATGTATTGCGCATAGGTGAAACCGAGCTATAACAAGAGCGCGTGACTATGTTAACGCATGGTTTTGGCCCCGTTATAACATGGGCAAAAGAGGGAAAAATAGCCGATTTATGCTATAATATAGTATTGAAGGATCATCACCAACTGGCAGTTATGCAGCACTCATTGATAAGATGTCTCCTTCATTAGTTATCGACGAATGTAAGACAGTTGGTATCGATCTAGGTATGAGGATAGAAAAAGAAAATTCGTTAACCCGAAGAAAGATGTGCAAGGTAATAGTTGAGCATGCGGTTTGTCAAGATCATGAGACTAAACAAAAGAGTTTTTGGATACTCGGGAAAAAATATCCAGATCAAGTTGGTGAGTAGACAATGTTGTTTTAAAATTAATTGAAACTTGTATATAACATTATTTTGAGGATGGTCATCTAAAATATGCTCAATTACATGTTTGGTAATTTTCTTCATGAACAGATAATGAACTTGATTAAATCTCATCGCTAAGCTCACTACATAATAAATTAGCATCCGTTAACATTTATGTTTTAAATCTCTTCAATTCTCAAATATGCTTTAACTACCCTGCTTAATATTATTACAACAGAAATATGCACTGACATAATTATATTGCAAAAGAATTGAAAAGTATGTAAGAAAACATGTAATTTACATCAGGATAAGGTCATTTCGCTACATGAATCACACATAATATTGTTTATTAAGTTCATTTTCCCTAACGGTTTTCCTATGCTTTGTAAAACATAACTTTACTTTACTTGATAAATGAATCAAATAATAATAACAACAGTCGTAGGTTTTATATTAATCTATAAAGATAAATTCAGATTTCAGGGCTACATTTATCCAAAAGATAACCGATAACGTTAATTTATATAGCACCCTTGATTCGGAAGAGGATAATTTGACTATAATTTATGAAGAAATTTATGAAGGAAACCATCACCTTGACACACCAGGTCTTGAATTTTATCTGTATAATATACCTCAGATTAATTACCCTTTCTTTTCTGTTGTACTTTCAAACATGAATGTTTAGATACACATACGGTAATTGTTGTGTGAATAACTTCAATGTAAAATGAACAAGAAAGGTCATTTTAATACATGTATTTCTACAAATTGTTACTGTGAAAATGAACTAACAATATGAAATGAAACCTATATTTATTCTAAATTATACATTGTACTGCATTTATCTTTAACAGTTCAAAAATCTGTAATTTTATAGATATTGGTCAAATGGGAAGACGTATACAGCCAAATTATCTGACCACATTAAGCCAATGTCGATGTGTTCTTAATTTAACATTGGATGGCGACATAATGAAGAAGATACAATATCAGGAAAAAATTAGTTGTGATATAAGCAGAAGTATTAGAAGTGGACATTGTACTGATAAAGAACATAAATAAATCTCAAGGAGTGTCATTTTATTGTTTTCTTCGTTTAGACTGCATAAACAGCAAACAACGTAGTAATTTATTGTAGAATGCTTCATATTCTTTGACAAAATATTAAAAATAAAGAACACAATTTTTAAAATGAAGATCCTTTTTGAAAATTATTAAGTTTGCATAATCTTACTTAACATTAAACTAAGATAAGCTACATTAAACTAAGTAGCCTTTATTTACATGTCACGAAAGTTGAAAAGCGACTTCATTATTAAAAGCAAAAAAACCTGAACAAATATATGCTACATTCTGTGCCATAATTAATTCTTCCAGTTGACATAAAATAAAAAGAATGAAAGGTCAAATAATGAACGTGCAAACATATTTAAAGAAAAAGAAGAGCAATGGCATAGCAGTTATACATATTATTTTGTTTTGAGTCCTTAAATTTATATTTTTATCTTTTGTTTTGACGTTGCAATATTATAAAAATCTTAATTATGTAATAACAAAAAATATGAATATTTTTAAGACACATTATTTTCATAAATAACTGTTGCACAGGGTCCAATAAATAGTATATATCAGATAAATTGATTATCATCTATGTAGCCATGATAAAACATGCTATTCTTAACTTCTATACATTTCTGTAAAACGTCGATTTTTATTTCATTATTTGGCCAAGTCTTTATTTATTCTAATGACAAAACAGATTTTCTTAACATTTTCACAACGGCATAAAGCCAATCCTTGCTAATAACATAAAACATATGCATTCAAACTTTAAGTGTAACAAAATCATACACCTGACTTGTAGTTAATGACACGTTTACGTCCTCAATTTAAATTCATCAAATAGCATAGTATACATATTCGAGAAGCATCCGTTGCATTTGGTGATGTGTTTTGTTTGTCATGCTTATGTCAAAAATACTTTCTCTATAGCAAGCGTAAAAGAATTCAATTATTTTTCTCAGTTTTTGTCATATGCATTCAATCAATGCACACTAAATGTTCTAACGTCCAGCTTGTACATTCAAACATGTGCATAGGACGTGTGTTTAAAGACACATTTATGTTGTCATTTCAAATGGTTGAATAGCATCGTATGTAGATTCTGCTTCTTTAAGATCTTTATCGAGCTCTGTATATTGACTTTCTGAGGCTTGAGCATCGTGAGGAGATGTCCTTCCCTCCTTTACATCGTTTGTTTTAAGTTTGATTGGATCTTCCACATTTACATACCTTAAAGTAAAAGTAAGTCCATAACAAAAATTATTACGTTGTGATCATAAGCTCGAATTTAATCACAATTTTGCCATGTTGTGGTACCCATATCTATCCTTTTTATGTGTTTTCCTAAAGTATTCTCATAATATCTTTTTTCTTACATGTCACCTCTGTGTCCTTTTAAGTTATTCAAATAACGTGTTAACATATTATAAAATAATATCGACATTTAAACATTGATACGGCCTGCCGTTAGAAATACCAGTATGAATAATAGACTATACTTTGTTAATAATCTCATCATGTACATATTATTTTCATTTAATAAAACTTACTCTCTGCCTTTTGTATCTTCGGAGATATCTGTAAAGAAAATATACAATACTATGATTTAAATTTGTCTTCATTAAAAGTCAGAGTTTAAAATAAAAACACGATAGGTCTACAGGCACTCAATTGGTTCTAGATTTTCTTCACCAATTTTATACTTCATTTATAACTAATTATGAACTTTGAATTAAATACTATTATTGCCAATACAAATATATCAAGCGTTGCTAGTTCATTTAATCAGATATGGTTTATCACATGAAATACATTGTTTTCAACATTTCAATATGTATGTTGTTGAACCATAACGTATTTCATTATTTCTATATGATATTGTACCTATGGTGCTTCGTGGCCGAGTGGTTCGTGAAGGTCGTTGACTTTGAATCACTTGACCCTAACCGCTGTGGGTTCGAGTTTCGACAGGGATTTTGGATTCTTGTATGTGATGAAGCTATCCAGCTGTACTCAGGTGGCTGTTCGTGCCTGAAATAATGCACGGAAGGGCCCCTGAGGTCTTCCGCCACCAATAAAGCTGGAACGTCACCATATGACCTATACTGTGTCGGTCCCAATCAAAACAAACAAACAAACGAATATCACACACGTATAATTTTATGTTGAAATACACATCCATTGCAGCTTTGATGTTTTTAAGTTATGTCAATCAAGCGGTATCAATTCTTTACACTTAAAGTTTTGGCAACAGCTACCCTGATTAAATGTATGAGAGAATACTGATAAAAGTACGTGACAATTTTTCTACAAGTTTCAGATAAAAATACAATGTATAAAACAACAGAGCATAGTTAATTTTTGCGTTGTCATGTTTTGTTTATGATAAATATGTTTTCAGGCAGCAATATGTTACCTTTATTCTGGCCAGGGTCATGCCTTCTTTTCATCCGTAATGTAACGTATATGGAATATACCAACAAGACAACTATCAGTATGCCGAGAACTACTCCTACGATTATCGCAGTGGTGTTGTTTGTCTTTACTGTCACATTCACTGTATATCAATTTAGATGGGAATATGAGTTTTAATGTACATTGTTATTAGAGAATATAACTTGTGCAGTAATGTATTGATGCCACAATATGTCATGATTATACTCAACATATTTGTTTTTCATTTCCAGTTACATTTGCATAAAGCTGGTTTGAACTGAAATGTAACATTTACATAAAGCTGGTTGGAACTGAAATGTAACATTTGCATAAAGCTGGTTTGAATTGAAATGATGCTTAAATAAATTTAAGACATGACTTTTGCATACAATACACCATTATAATCATAGAATATTGATATTTCTTTGTAAAGAATGTTATGTATGCATTATGAATACTGCCCTTATCTTTTGTTAAAATTTTCAGACATGCATTAGTATCATATTTCACGAAAAAATCTTATCTTCTCTGCCTTTTTCAAATCACAGCTTCATTTAGATATACAGGATGTACAGTAATTAATAAATTCTATTATGTTTACATCGGTAAATGCCAATTTAACATTATAGTCTGATTTTATTGACCTGTCAGTTATGAATACATTATAGGACTCATTTAAATATTCGGTCCCACTTCGGTTTGGTCCGTGTAGTTTACGAGAATTAATGTGAAGTATATTAGTCATGGATGAAAGTCACGCCAGCGTAATGTGAATGTTTTCGTTAATTCACAATAGCACAGTCGGTTAAGAGAATGCCTGATAGGTCTGATAAGAGGTCTGTGGTTCGATCCTTACTGTTGCCATTGTATTAGTACTCTTTCTTTATTTTTGCAGTATACTTTAATTGAACAGATTTGTAGTGTGTTGTACGGCATTGAAAATACATGTACATTTATTGATTTTAATCCGTTTCAATTTTAAACATGAATTCTTAAAACATGTTATTTAAAAAGAGTATAGACATAACAAAATTAAGTAAAACATAAAAAAACCAAATAAAATAAAATAAAATAATATATAGCTTCAATAATGTTGAAAGTATCAATAAGAAAAAACATGGACCAACGCGGTCTCGAACTTAAAACACGTTTGATACTTAGATTATAAACTCGTGCTTTACCCGATTGCGCTATAACGCTGAGTACTATTAGTTTAGAGATAAAAATTAAATTCAATTCCATCGTACACCGTCTATCTTACGGAACTTACCGAAAATCTACCGAAGATTAATATACTGTGTGCATCGACCGTATAATCAGTATGGAATTGACAGGTTAATAAAACCAAACAATAACTTACATTGAACATTTAAATTTATTGATTCGGTCAGCTGTTCTGGACTCACTAATGCAGGATGAGTAACTATACACTGTATACTTTGTCCATTATCCGCAGCCGTCACCTGTCTAGTATACGTAGAAACAACTGTAAATGTTTCTGCTGCAGCATCGGCTGCATTTGTTGTACTGCCGTTATATGTCACACCTTGATATAACCAGGATATACTGGCTGCTGGTCTACACCCACTTGTTGTACAACTTACTGTTACAGTACTACCAGCTGATACAACAGATGTCTGTGTAACTGTTGGCTGGCTAGGCTTCACTGAAAAAAAAAAAAAAAATAACCGAAATAAAATGAAATTTGTCGTTTCGCCAAAA